CTGGCACTTTTCATCTCCACATGTGATTTTTTGTACCTTACCACCTATGTAGCATTAGAAAGAAGAGAATTAATTTTGACACTGACTGGCAACCGCTAGTGTCAAACTGCCTTCAAAGGCAATTAGGATCTAATTCAAATAACAACCAGGAGAGCAGAACTTATCTGAAGAAGCCCAACCCATATCTGTCTTCTACAGAGCCCTGATCAGATCTTGGCTTACTGTTTTCCTCATTACTTCAGGCATGTTACTTTATTTCTGAAAAGCAGGTTCTGACTGTTGGCATTCACTGAAATCAGGATATAGATACTTGCAGTGTTAAGATGGGGAGGAATCTTGGTTATTGTTTTTAGTAACTATGCTCAAAATTGTCATCTAGTGCTTGTCATTAATTTTTGCATAAAGTAACCTGGTAATCTCTACAGCTTTTTGTTCCTATTTATTACTCTGTCCTGCACTGGAAGGCTTTCCTGAGTTCTAATTCTGGAATCAGAGTGATCTATGACTCTTAAAATGCAAATTTAGGGAAGCACAGTATGGCTTCATGTGATAAATAGTACAGCTGAGCCTTCTGTCTAATTTGATGAACTCTGAAATGGCATCTTGCTTTAGGCATCCTCATTGGTTTTACATCTTTGTCATGTTTAAGGTGGAGATGAAGCACTGAGAGGACAAATGAAGCTGGTGCTGGAGTTTGGTGTGTTTAAGAGCCCCTGCTTTATTCTGGCTCAATGTTCCCGCTTCCCCTCTCCCTTGGCTGCCAAAGTGGGCACTGCACAATGCGAGTCAGGCTCGCCAACACTTCCATTCTGTATTCTGCTGTCTCTGCTTTCTGTGGGTCTGGTTTTGATTGTTAACTTTGATTGAGCTGCTTTTGCACTTCAGTGAGCATTTATTTTCTTGCTACCTAGTCTATATGTATGTGAACCACCATGGCATTGACACTGTTGAATCTAAATGTTGTTTTGGAAATGTGGAGCTGACCTGAATATTAAGGAAAGCTCCTGAGATAAAGCTGGAAGTGATTTGAAGAACAGCTTAACATGTGGTGTACAGAGCTTAGCTGGTCATTTATGCTAGCAGTGACCTGGTGCAGTATTATGCTGCTACTGAGGCTGTTAATACTCTCTACAGTCAGAATTTGTCAGAACTTCTATTTGTCAGAATATGTAATTGAGAGTTGCTGAGGAAATAACTTCAAATAAATGTTACAGCATTTTCTTGTCTTGGAAGACACTTTCTTCCACAAACAAAATAACTTTCTAACTTCTTTTAACTGTTACCTAGTTCCTGTTGCAAATGAAACAACTATTTTGCAAACATAATAATTTCTTCCATTTAACAAACTCCTTCAGCATGAAATCGGTGTTTCAGAAACCCTTGCACAGATCCGACTTTGCTAATTTCTTGTCAGTGTACTAATTGTAGAAGTAGCAAAGGTTAATGTCCTTCTGAGTCAATAAAGCCATTTACTCTGGGTTTAGATTCAGGTTAGGGGAGAAAATGTTCTGGAATAATAAAATTGTGATTAAATTCTGAATTCAGTAACTTCTCTTTAGGCAAAATATTTAGGGAACTGTACTTATTGATCTACTTTGTAGACCACTGCTTTTCTATTTTATTTAAACTCTAGTAATTTATATGTGAAGATGGGACACTATGTAACAAGGTTTTGAAAATCTGTGATATCAGAACCAAGAATTATTCTTTAACTATTTTGCAATGGGTAGAATTCTTCTTCTGTCAAACATCCAGGATTTTACTTTCTATGTAATAGTTGTAGCACTGTCACACTCCAGTACTTCAAGCTTAAAGAATGGTTTTTCTCTTTATAAGAGGTTTATACAAAGAAAATATGTAGTTCTTCATAGTTTGACTGACAGTAACACTGAATTATTTTAATATCTGGCTGTAAGAAATTGTCTGTCCCCTGTTCAACATCTCAGCAAAGACTGCTTAATAAGCAAATCCACAGGCATGTAGACTACCTGGGATTTGGAGTATAAATGTATGTTCCTTTTCCTGAAAGGCATATGTTGGTTGGAGATAGGTGGTAGAAGCAAATTAATCAGGACTGCAGTTATTAGACAGAATTCCTGAGCCACTTCTATTTGGTCAAATTCAACTGATGTCAAACAGTAATTCTATGCTGCTGTTACAGTGGGAGTTAAATGAGACCCAGCACAGAGGATAGAGTAAAAATATGGCATTGATATCAGAACAGACAGAAAGAAATGTTTGCACTATGTGTACAGATGTGTGCCTGTTCCACTAGAGCTGTAATTACATGTTTTACTGGGCATGCACACTAAGGTTACTAGGGTTCCCCCTCAGGAACATACATTTTATGGTACTTATAAATTATTTGTTTCTAAAATAAGTGATTCTGCTACTTATTCAAGTATTCTCTTTACTGCTCAAACAAAAGATCATTGCTCAATATTTCTTCAGCTACGTGCAACCTTCTGCAAGATTTAATTCCTTTTCCATTGCCACACAATCATCACTTCAGCAATTACATCTTGTTCTTCTTAGATGTTTATGCATATTACTCATCTATATTCAAGAAAATCGTCAAATGTCCTCACATATTTTCAAAGTTATAGTTGATGACTTGGGATCTAATAACATCAAGAAAGATAATTCCAACAACCTTAAAGGTAGTTCATTGACTGCTAAGAAACATTTACCAGCTTTATACAAGTTTAGTCAGCCAAGAATTGAACACAGTTAATTAATAGTGCACTGTTTTTTATTGTCTTCAGGCTTGAATAAATTATTAGAACAAAAGGTAAGCTGCGATTTCCATTCTTTTAGGTGCTGGATTCTTATAGCTCCAGCCCAGTGGAGATTTAGGTTTAAATTTGAAGAGAAGAAAAATATGTAAGTGGATTCTGAATAAGAAATCCAAAACTTTAATATTTTCCTGCTCAAAGCTTCAGAAAGCTGAAGTCACCAAAGAAAAGCCACTGAGAGCATTTCAACAAATACTCTCTCTGGCTTGGGAAATAGAGGGCCAATGAAGCACCTTGGATTTCCTGTGATTTTATGGTTTGATTGATGCAGGATTTTGTAGATGTTGTTAACCTAAAATATGTGGATGTTGAGGAAGCATGGGGAGTCAGCTCCCAATTCCATCAGCTTCCAATTTTTTCCTTTGATTTCTTTAAAAAATAATTTTAAGCAAATATTCTTATGCCACTCTGCATCTCTAAGATAGGAATAGTCAATTCCTTGCCTTTGAAAAATATTTTGAGACATGTTAGTAAAAAGTGCTATGTAAGAGCTTTGCATTATTATTGTAATTTTAGAGATAATGAATGGCATCCTACAAAATAACTCAGTGTTACATGGAGTACTAAATATTTTCTAACTTCTTGACTTTGAATTGCTGTTCAGTTTCTAAGCTTAGACTGATGCTTTGTTTGAAACCTCTTTGAAATAATTTCTATCTGTTTAAGCAATTTCTATTTTGGTGCAGACACAGCACAATAATTGCATTATAGTGAGTATGACTGCTTGTCAAATGCAAACCCCAGACTTTCATCTCCTTACAACTTTGTGCTAATGCTGTTCAACTATCCATCAGTTAGATGACTTCCTGTCACACAAATGGCAGCTGACAAGTCTGCCTATCAGTTCTGTTCCTACAAATTTGCAAGTTTAGGAAACCAGGTTCAGTTTTAGGCATTATTTTAAGAGAATAAATAATCTAATGAATTTTTTTTTTAAATATCTTTTGGGTTGCACAGTTTTATTTTCATTGCTTGAATGGCAGTTCACAAGTTCTCTGAATTCTTGACACAGTGTTGACTGAAGCCCTCCTGAATAATAACATCAGGTACCCTTGTGAGCATCAGCAAGAGCAGACTTTTCCCATAAACACATGAGAGACATTTGGAGATATGCTACACATAAGAGTCACTACTCCAGATTTTGGGTGCTTACTCCACCAACTCCACAAAGGAGAGTTATTCTCATTGCAGAAATCTCTCCTCTCCTCTGCTCATTTCTCCTTAGGCTGGAGTGATTGCACTCAGTAAATGTTTGTGCAGTTCCTGTTGTACTACCAATCCAAAATTAAAATCTCATATTGGTTCTGCAATACTCAGATGAATTGCACTGTGAGATAAATTTTCTTGTGTTCTCAAGCATTTTATAATTCTAAAGGGAAACATTCAATAACATGCTTTTGCCTGTTTTCCAATGATAGCCAAGTCTTAATCAGATTTCAGTTTAACACCTTTGGAAAGTAGATGAAAGACAAGCTGAATGCTTAGACTTAAAAGAGGAAAACAAGAGGTTATGACATAATTTTTCATTAAGAACATTTGCAATTAAATTTTGTGCACGCAGATTTAATTATGAAATCCTTAGTGCATGTAATGAACAAGCTTTAGTCACATTAAGGATGAACTGCCCTCAAAAAAAAATCAATCTCCATCTCTGTAAAAAGCATTGTAATATTTATAAGAACTGTGAAATAGTCAAAGGATTTATATGTGCTGGTAAAAGAAACAATAAATGTTCATAATCACAGTTTTGTACATTAAGATGTGCATCAAAAGCAAAGAAGAATATTTAAATCTGTGGTAGTTTGATTGACAGGTTTATCTGCTGTTGCTGCACTGGATTAATAATATGTAACATTGTATTTTGATTACACTTTTTTTTAAATCCAAAGATGACTAAAATCTTCCTTTTTGGGACTTAAGGGGAAGAAAGAAAGAAAGAGATTTAACATCTGCAAATGGATCTGTAGGATCTAGTTGAAAAACAGAGGACATTGATAAAAAAATTGTAATTATTATTTTATAAAGAACACTAATAGACCCCATAATAGAAATAAAAGATTCTATTTTGTTTATGTTTGAAGCAACATTGCTTTAACTTTATTCTGCAAACTTTTCTTATAATGCAGCAAAAATGCTCTCTTTGAAAACAGCAAAATTCAACAGGAACTTAACTCTTTTAATGTCCTTGTTATTTATTCCTTCTAGGGGTAAGAATATTGGACATGACATAGATTTTTTGATAACCAATCCAGGACCAAGAGAAGATGATGAACTTCTGCATAAAGTTATTGACTTATGGAAAAAGCAGGTATGAACTAAAGAGCACTTGGCCAAAAAGACATGTTCTAACTCCACTGAATTAAGCCTATATAGCTCTTAAAGAATGTCATACACCTTGTTACAACTGACTGCAGTATTTTGGAGCAGGATCTTGCTCTATTTGATTACTAACCATCATGATCTAGGTGCGTCCTGTAGCTCTGAATGCTAAAGTTGAAGGATATATCAGAATTGTGCACATACATTCTGTAATATCTTACTCTAAGAATATGCAGCTGGTCAGAGGTGAGAAGTCAAGCTAGGTAGAGTTTTGAGTGTTGGAGAAAATTGTTCTTTTACTTAAAAAAAACTGTCTACTTGTTTAATTTCTCCTTGAGGTGGGAGTAGGTTTTCCCAGGGGAAGCTGCTCCAGGGAGATCCAGCTGTAAGTGTAGAAATACAGAAAAATTGACACAGATTTCCATGATGTCTGTGTTCGGAAAAATGCACACATCTTCAAGGTCCCTTCCAATCCAAAGTGCTAGACAATTCTGTCATTTCTTAGGGGAGTTGCTCATCTAAGGGATGGATTTTTGGTTGTTTTGTTGGGGATTTTTTGCTCTTTTTTTTTTTTTTCTTTCTGTTCAGCTCTTCAGTTTCCAGCAGCTTTAAAGTTGGAGGTGTCTCATTTAAAACAGGTGCAGGTAGCTAAAATATTCCTGGGTCAGAAAAATACAGTATGTTGAGAAAAAGAAACTTTTGTTTTTCTTCTACTTTTCTAGCCAGCTGAGATATTTTTCAACATTTACTACCAATACTATTCAAAGAAATAGACTACATTTCAACAAGTAAAAGGCCAGCACCCTGAGGTGAATCATCAAGTACCTCACTGCTAAGTCAAGTCAGCTTTCAGTGCTGACAGGCTGCAGAGGATGCTTTTGAATTGATTCTTGAGCTGTGTACTTCAATTAATGTATAATGGGTTAACACATGAAAGATTAAAAACACCCAACTACACAGAAGCTTATGTGACTGTATATTTCAAGGTGGTCAAAATCTTTCAGCTGACTTTGATGGAAGGGCCTCAAACTTGTTTTTTTTTTTTTCTGGTAAAATGCAACATTAGCTGAATTCCTCTTCTTCCGGTTGATTTTTGGTCTTTAAAGTGTTAAAAAACTATTATTAATTTTTTAGGTTTTTCTCATTCCTCTGTGGAAGCTGTATGTGTTGGAGTAGATTGATAGCAGGTAATATTTAGACTACTCAAAAGCAATGAAGCCATGGCAATTAATGAGTGCTGAGGAAATACTCTATTTTTATCAATCATTTTATTATTAATGTATAGGTCCTTTCACAGTTATTATATTCCCTTTACTATGAGAAACATTGCCTTTCTTCTTAGAATGGGTCTTTTCCCTTCTTATACACACTTGAATCTCTAGGAAACCAGGTATGGGTCCTCCAAAAATCGTGCTTGTTATAATAGAGCAGACTGGAAAAGTGACAACAGACCAAGGCTAGAGCCTGCCCTGAGTGCAGCCTTTCATTCTTTCTTTTCCACTTACATTACTGAGAAAAATGGCTGTGATCTGAGAAGTCTGACAAGTACTAAAGTTTTTCAGTTCGATTTGAGCTGTTTTCATTAAAAGGAATTGAAAGAAAAGAAAATTAAAATAAATTGTTCTTACTGGTTTTCTTGTTAAGGGGGCTATTTGGCAGAAAGGAGAGCAGGCAGAGTATGGGAGGTCAAGGGTGGCTGGGAGTTTGATAAAAAGATTAAGATTCCTCTAGAAATCCCAGCATGTAGAGCATATCAGAAGAACAATGGTCATGGAGACCAAACCCAGAGAAGCTGGGTATAGTTTAAACCTATGGACAATGATTTCCTGTGTTCTGTTTGTCCTCCAGACATTTCATGGTTTATACTAGTTACACTACCTCTCTGCTGTGGCATTTGTAATATACAGGCTTTTACTGGCACTACTGAAAAAACAAGCTGCCAGCAAAATCAAAATGCAAAAAAGTAAGAAAGGATTTATACACCTCTTGCCTTTTTATTATCTTTGATTTCCAAGGGAGAGGGGAGGATACAAAGAAAACCCCAAATAAAGCACTTTGTAACTTTTTGCAGTAGTCTGCATCACAGCTTGCCACTTTTGTGCTGCTCCTTCTAAGCCCAAATTAATTGATGTACATCACGGAGGTCGTGATGTTGGCCTCCTTTTGGCAGCTATGAGTGAAGGATTCCACAATGTTTAACTTCCAAATTATGGACCACAGCTTTAAATAGTTTAAAGGTTTAGTGTTAACTAAACTCAAAAGTTTAGTGTTACAAGATCCTTCCATTGAAAGCTGCTGAAAATGAAATGGCTAAATCAGCACCATTATGGTCTTTGATCCAGCATCACCAGGGATAAACGGCTTGGGGAACAGAGAACACAAAGTCTTCAAAGTAGAGTGGCAAAATGGAAAAGCTGTGATGCAGTACACAGGTTATGGTCTTAATGGTTCCAAAAAGCCTCATAAAGAAAGGAAGAAATTGCTTCTGTGGGCTAGAGCTTGGGAGTCTGTGGGCAAACAGGCTGAGCCATCTGTGTCCATGTAGCTTCATTCACATACTGTGAAAAAATGCTTTCATTTTTTGCTGAAAACCTGTATAGCTATATTTAGCACTGTTCCTGTTATATACATACTTTCAACAATGGAAGAGATGCTGTTACTACAGGCACTCCTGCACTCTTCGGTTTTTCCCTTTATATTCATGTAAATATAATGCTGTTGTTTTTCTTTTGGCTTTAAGAAAATGAGTGATGGAGATGCCTGCCTGTGCTTACCTATTTTAATATATTACTTGTCTGGTTTAAACTCTAGTATTCACTCTTGATGAGGTGATCAGGAAGGGGAAGGTTTGATATCCCGTTAAAGAGTATGGCGAGGAGCAAGTAATATTTTTTCTTTTGCTGGAAACAGATTTTTGGAAACAGGGTTCACAGGAAAGCCACACATTCATTACTAAGTGACAGCTGGATTTTTGCCAGCAACAAAACCTGTTTCTAAGACAAGATACAGACATTATTAAGAAGCCAGGGGAAAGAACCTTTAGTTTCAGATGAAAGAGTGCATAAGGATGCTGAGCTCCTTTGGGAACACATATTGTCTCAGCTTTCTTCACAATTCGTTATGAATTTTTTTCGTTCATTCTGACTCAGATGAGGAAATTCTTACCTAAAATAGATTATTGCAAGGTGGTTAGAGCCCTAAACATGAGAGATCTTGGCTTAAATTTCTTTAGAGAGAGTACAGGGCTGAATCTGATTATCCTGCTTGCGAGGTTATTGTATAAAGTAAGCAGAAGTGTTCCATTTCCTGCTGTGTTCTAAGTGAAGATCTGGCATTTCTTAAGACATGTGATCTTTCTGGTGTGTATTGTATAGCTGTGTGTGCATGAGTAGGTACATGTAACTCTCTGTCTGTCTGTCTGTCTCTTTCTCTTGCTCAGCAGTGGAAATGCCCATGGCATAGAGAGGTAAGCACCTACACTGATGGATTCCATGCTGATCTGTCCATTGCTGTCAAAGTCAGGCTGCTCCAGGCATGCTCAGAAACAGATCATTCCAACACACAGGGAACTTCAAGGTGAAAAAGGGACCAAGGCAGCTGCAGGATTATGCAGCAGCTGCCAAGTTTTACACTGCTGATCAAACCTTTGATGCCATTTTCTAGTGACTTATCCTAAAAGGCCTGACTTCTCCCAAGCATCAGTTCCTTTAACTCTTCTACTTTATAGAATTCCATCTGTCTCATCTAGGTTGAGATTTTTCCAAATGAACATGCTACATCCTATTTTAGATTAGATATAGAAATTTTACTGAAAAAAAAAGAATTCCAGTTTCACTTTATTAAACTATCTCAGAAGAAAATTGAGCAACAACGTATACATTTCAGAAGAACATATTGGATTACATTTTCAGATGATATAAAATGATCCTACTTAGCTTTAGCAGAATTAATCCAGCTAGCAACAATTATGAATAGTGACAGCATGTAACACTAAATATGGAATAAGATTCCATTTAATTAAAAATGACTGAGAATGCTAGTGACCATATTTCATTGATTTTTCAGTAATTGATTTAATATTTTTCTAAAAAGTCATACTTTTCCTCAATTTGAACATGGATTTACTCCAATATCAATGCTATTGATGTGCCAGCACTCAGCATATTTAAGTAAGAGTGTGCAGTCATTCTAAAAATGGAAAATTGTTGAGAGTCTTCACATAACTGTTCTAAAAAATACATTTAGTTTTGATGGTGTTGTAAATTTGAGAAATTAAAATGCCCACACTTTAAAACTTGATTGTGTAAACAGGACCTACAGCACTTTATGGTGTACAGATCAATCTGAAATGTGCAAGGAACTGCAGATTCCCTGACTCAGAGTAATGAGAAGGATGCAGCTCTGCAGCCAGCAGTGGCCAGAACTTCATACAATCTTCAAAGCTGACTGCCCCTTCAGGCAATGCTTTTTCCAAGTGTACCTAAGTGCATTTCACCTTTACTTTGTGGGGTGTTGGTGATGTCCACTGTCTAATTATACTAGGTTAATTGGAAATGCTATCCCAATGCATATGACCTAGGCTTTGGCTCCTATTAATGATGATACCCTGACTTCTGGTATATATTGTGTAGTGTCCCAAATCTCCAAGAGCCTAAAAGAAAAATGAAGCAAAAAATGAGAAAATACTGCTAAGTAGCTAACAGGTTTTTACCGAAAATGGGAAGAATATTGATGCTTAATCAAAGCATGAATTCGTCAATTATTGGTCAGTGATGAATGATATTAAAATTGTTTTTATTAGCATTAAAAGCAAGAAAATTAACTTGAAGGGAGTATAGCTTCATCAAAAAAAAAGCAGGAAAATAAGCAGTTATGCATTAACACTCAACAGCTGTTTTGAGTCTATATTTGGAAAGAGCAAGCATCAGTGCCTTGTGACATTGGGGTAAAATTAAGAAAAAAATGCTGTTTTAAAGATAGATGTTACAGAGCACCTGCTAAATTTAAGCATTTTCAAATCATCAGACTGTGAAACTAGTAATACAAGAGCAGAAGCTACATAAGGAGTTTTCTCATATCAGTTTATAATAAATCTTCATAGTCAAGAAAAATTCCAAGCAAGTGAAAGAATGCCAATTCAAATAAAATAGTTATCATTAAAAAGGCTGGCTCATTGACCCATGAAAAGCCTATAACTGATTTCCAGTAGAATAATGGGATTGTTAATTTGGAGCTATCATCAACAAAAAGCTGGAGGCTAAAAATATAATAATACATATCAGAGTCTCTTCATGGAAATCATATCTCGTTAAGTGTTTTTGATATGCCTTTTCTTTGGGGGGGGCAGAATTATAGTTCTGAGTGATAATTTTATTACTGTGAAGAATTCTCTAAGGCATTTAAGATATTGGCATGTAAAGTTACCACACCTGCACTAAAAAAAAGAAATAATAATCAAATTCTGGTTTTAATACTGAAGTATTCTTCCAAAAAATCAGTTCTTTGTTACCTGGGACATTAAGAGTCTTATCTGGAGACCCTTTGTCCTGTTCCTGGTCCAGATCAGAGGGAAGGGGCATGGCCAGACCCTAATGTTATTCAATACCACTTTCCATCATTGCCAGGGGTGGGGGAAAGGGACTTTGTCTCTTCTTAGAAGAAGGATTTTCCTTCCAGTGGGAGAAAGTGTGGTGGTTGAAATGGTCTGGTATTTTACATGCAAATAATTTCTTTGTCTTATACCTTTTGTTATTAGTAGTGCTGCTGGTACTGTTTGTTGTCTTACCTCATTGCTGTTTCCAGGAAATTGTTCTTATCTCAGTCCATGATCTTTGCCTTTTGTGTTTTCAGTTGGGGAGGAGGAAGCAAGAGGAGTGGTTTTATCTGGGCTACTGAATGGGAGAATACCATTCCTAAACTCCAACTGACAGCCATCAAATAAAACCACTTATAGACACTCTCAGTTCAATTGTGCAATTTAAAAAAGCCCCTAGTCCAGAAGAAGAGAATGTGTAAACTTTTGAGTGATTTTAAAACAGAAACAAAGAAGTGGTCCAAGGACCTAAAGAAGTGGGCATTCCCTCTGAGCAAAAGACATGGGCAGGGATCTTCCATCTCTCTGGAGACTCCAGACCTTGTCACAAGGAAATCTCATGCAGTAGTTATGGTCCAAATGGAATCTCCCACTTTGAAATGCCTCAGCAAGACTGTGCACTGGACTAATAATATTTTTCTAGATGTCTGCCACATAGGAACACATCAATTCTTACTCAGAAATTTCTGTTGACATTAACTAGAAAAAGGTTTATGAGAAAAGGAGGGAGGGGAAGAATTGCAAATTCTATCTCTTTAGTACAGGGCAGGACCTCACTACTATCAGATATCAACCAGTGCAGATTTCCCTCAAATATTTTTCCAAAGTCTGAAGCTGTTTCATGTCTCTCCTTAGCCCAGATTTGCCCTGGCACAGTTCCTTGTTTACTTAAGTTACATTTCACATGAATTTTTAAGACAACTGTCTAGAAACTCTGGAATGACAGTAAAACCAGTTCAGCAATTCAGTGTGAACAATATCTTCTCTTCAGGGCTTACTCCTTTATTGTGATATCATTGAGTCAACATTTGTAAAGGAACAGCTGCCAAGCAGAAGAGTTGATGCTATGGATCATTTTCAGAAGTGTTTTGCAATTTTAAAATTATATCAGCCAAGAGTAGACAACAGCACTTGCAACACATCAAAACAATTGGAAATGGCAGAAGTCAAAGACTGGAAGGCAATCCGTGTGGATCTGGTGATAACCCCCTTTGAGCAATATTCATATGCTCTGTTAGGCTGGACAGGCTCCAGGGTAAGTAACCACAGCACTGTATGTTTTCTTAGCATTGCAAACACATTTTTCTTGTTGCAGGACTATTCAGAGTTCATGTATTAAAAAAAAAAAATATTCCTGATGTCCACACATCACATTTCATGTTGTCATCCACCCCTGGTCATGGGTTGGAGCTGATGAATTCCTTACTAACATTTATGGATGTCTCTCTAGGAGAGTTAAGCTCTATTTTCCTTGAAGCTTAGTGTTTAGGTTTATGAAGTGGAGAGCTAGGTTTTTGGTCAGTTGTGTTGTCTTTTACATCATGGTGCTGTTAACAAGCAATTTAAATGGTTACTGAGTAGAGATGATTTGGAAAGCGTCACATAATTACAGGAAATTAAACATTTGAGGAAGAGATACTCTGAATTGGAACTTAATTTGTTTTGTAGGAAATTGAAAACAATTTGATATCTTTCTTTTTGGATTAGATCAAATGTTTTGTTTCAGTTGCATTTTAATTGACTCCTTTAAATTGTAAAAAACTGAAAAAAAATTAAAATTAGACATTTGTTTTGAATCAGAATAAAATATATTTTGATTTATGTTTTAATAAGAAAGCTTGATAGCTACTTTCTAAATAGACACTAGTTAACTGGCATAATATAAAATAGTACACTATTTTCAAAACAAAAAAATTCTACCTAATGCAAACTCAAAACTCAAATGACTAATCTCTCTCCAGACAGAATTATTTTTTGATCTGTTCTACTTTCTTGCCTTCTGATGTTAATTTTTTAGGGAGTGTTTACATGGTACAATGAAGAGCTTCTGAGCCTGCTCTGAATTATCTTTTTTGATGTGCTGGAAGCAGTACTGGTGCCTTGCCACTCTGTTCTACTCAGGTTAATTGGAAGCAGGATGTTTTAGACCAGGCCAAATGTTGAAATTGATGTGTTCTCCTGCTGAGTTTGAGTTACTTCACTCACTTTTTTGAGATAACAAAATGTATTTATTTGGACTTTGGATTAAGTTCTGCAGACTTTGGGGTCCTTTCTTATCGTGGAAGTGTTTGGCAACTTAAAAGCTCTTCTCTCGAGTCTGTAGATAGGAGTCTACACTAAAAACACAGTGTGAGGCCCTTTGGATGAGTAGGCAATGACTTCATTTTTCTCTGCCTCACTGAACTCCTACTCCCTGTTGGGCTAATTCACCAACAGACTGTGGGAGCCCATCACAGCTTTACTTTCTTATACAGAGCCCAACTGCTGTCACAGTAACTGACTGCAATGATGGACGGATGCAAATGTTTGGATACCTTATCCAAACATTTCCCTTCACATGATTGATTTTATCAGACTATATTCCTTTAATAGAAGTAATTTTTGGTCCTTAGTTTATTATTTGGTTTGGTGTTAGAAGGTGCAAAAGATAAGAATTTTGGTTTGTGCATGTGTTTGATGTTTGCTTTATCTTTGACAGCAATTTGGACGTGACTTGCGGAGGTATGCTACACATGAAAGGAAGATGATATTGGATAACCATGGATTATATGACAGGAGAAAGGTACTGTTAATTCTCAGAAATAAAGCTAATGTGTTTTTATTTCCAAGTGTGCATTTCCAGTTAATTTTTTATATTCAAGTATATAGAATATTTTAGCTTGATTATCCATTTGTTGGTAAATAGTTCCACCTTCACATGATTTAGTTTCACTGGAACAGCCTGATTAAATCTGAACAAGTAAGTCTGGAAATCCTTCTTTTTTTTTTTTTTTTTGGCAATTGTGAGTTAATTCCTGAAATGTAACAAGAAACATGAATTAGGCATTTGTGTTTGATAGGAATTGTGCAGCCTTCACAGAGAGAACACATAGTTTGAGAACAAACTATCTGCAAGTATTTGAAAAAGGCACTTCTCTGCCTCTCTGTCTCAGAAGGAGAGATAATTTCTGTGTCCCCAACACACTTTCATCTCATATTGGTCTGACATTGCAAAGGAAGAGGGGATATTAAGTGGTACAGGCTCAGTTAGAAGGAAGTTTTGAGGAAGTTTTTGCAGGGTATGACACTAAGTAAGGATTAGGGATCATCCTGCTTTTAAAGCCCTGCATTTAGAAGTCTGTGTGGAGTTCTCTTTAGTCAGGCTTGGCAGCCTGGGGAGTAATTGGTATAATTTCTGGTATAAAGGCTCTTGGCTGCAGTTATACTGATCTCTGCATTTATCTGGCTTACTGTCTGTATTTGTATTAGGCCATTTAAATAATAAGCAAAAATCAATACTGAAGATGCTTATTGATATCAATTTAGGGAAAGGCAAAGTACCACATCAAGATTTTACATTAATCTTTCCTATATATTCCTTATAGAATGGAGGCTGCTTTCAGCACCCCTGCTCACATGCAGTATTGTCTCATGGCTTCTTTCTGAGATGCAGGAGTGATCTAAGCCATCACTCCATTTCAGCTGTCTCCATATGTGCTCATCAGGTCCAGATGCAGCTATAGCATCCTCAGTTCACATGGAAACCTGGGGAAATGATCAGACTAATTATCCATTTAGTCAGATATCCTGTCGCCAGCAATTGTCAATACTAGATGCTTCAGAAGAAAACATAAAATCAATAGTAGATAAATATGCTATGATGTGTCTAAAGAGGATGTTTCTTCACAAACCTAGGGATGATGTCAGTGTATTCCTGTCTGTCTTTTATATTTTGAAAGTATTCAAAATATAAAGGCTTTTCCTCAACATAATATGGCTGATGTTATTATCTGCACATTCATATCTGCTCTGTTCAATAGATTTTTGGGTGTAACAAAAAATGGCACTAGGGAAAACCAAAGAATTTTGGAGGAATGCCAGTGTTATTTTTTATATGCAGCAAAATTTGCCTGCTTGGTGTGTGAGTATGTATCCTTATATCTGCTGCTTTTACTCAGAGCTCTGAGACTTTCAGAGATGAAAAATGGACACAGTTCTTTCATGAACAACATCAATCAGTATTCTTTTTTCTTGACTATGTTTAGGCTCTATAAATGATATACCATTAAAATCTTTCTGGGGGAGGAAAAAAAAAGTGAGTTTCCATGTGTTTTTGACTAGATTAGCCAGGATGATTCACAGATAAATGATGAGTTTATCTTCACAGTATGCTCTAGGAAGATGTTCTTGTCATCCCAAATTTTCAAGTAAAGAGCTGAGGCAGAGAAAGATTGAAAGTCTTAAACATTCATTGATTTCAAAGGCCCTGCATTTGCGGTGTCCAGCCTTAAATTTCTCCTGTTGAGTATCTGCCTTGGAAATTTGAAAAATCCAAAGAAATGTGTATACCCATGTTGCAGTTCCCCAAACCATCAGCCGTAACTGTAATTTAGTCTCCAGACCTTCTACATGTCTGAGTCTCAATTTACATTTCCTCAGTTCCTCAGCTGGACTGCCCAAAACTGAAGAAATTGACCTAAAGAGAGGGCTGAGAAGAAAAAGTCAGAAAACTTTCCTTATTCCTTATCATAAGGCAGGAGTTCTTGACAAAGGCAAAGACAAACCAGCAATACAAAAACCATACTGAATGAAACCCAAAACACCCAGACCAAATCTCCAGGGAAGATTTCAACTGTCTTGACCACAAAGTCCTTAATCTATGATTTCCATATATCGAGGCACATGGTTGGGTCAGCTGTCCCTTTCAGGGAGGGACTTTGCTTTCAAATCTGTCATCATCCCCCCCTTGTTCCCCAATATCTGGGTCTGCCATTTCTCATTTAATTGCAAACACAGCTAGTTTACTTCCAAAATCTGTTTTCTGCTGCAAACCACAGATGCAATGCAGATTTCGAACAGAAGAAGTTGTGTTAATATGTTGACACAGCAGAATACTGTTCTTATTTCTGCTGCAGTCTCAGAAATAGCTAAATTACATTAGCTGATATTTTCCACACAGAAAGAAACTTCTCAGGCAGATATGCAATATGAAAAATTTCAGACCAGGGAGCACTGAATATATAATCTGCTTAACACAGATTCTTTTTTCAAGTAGTGTTATTCTAACAAGAAGCAGGGAGATAACTCTCTGGCAAGTATATGAATATTTATAATCTAATGTGTTAAATTCAAATATATTTAAAAATATTTTTAACTTTACAATTTTGTATTAGGTTATTCCCACAAATGACAGTTTGAACAAACCCCTTCCATACTGCTGCCCAGTGTGTACTAAGATCAGAAATGTGCAGAATACAGCAGTGGTGTCTGTCTGTGAAATTTGATGGCCCATAGTTGAAGAGGAGATGTTGGCTGTAAATTGTGTGGCTGCCAAGGTTGATTCATTTTTAGGGTCATCAGAGTAGTTAGCTTAAAAAAAGTGATAAAAATAAGCTAATTTTGCACAAGGGAGCATATGCCCAAATTGTAAAATGTTTAGGGTTGGTTTGTTAGTTATTTTTTATATTAAACTATGAAGAGCGGAGAATCTACTTTATTATAATCCTTGTTCTTTTCTTTTGAAATTGCTTGACTCATAGGGAACAATAAAAACGTGGGTATTTTATCTGTACTGCCTCATAAAATTGGATTGGAACATGAAAATTTGTATTTCATAAGTGTATTTCTCTTTTTGAGATGAAATCTTCCTTTCTTAAAGCTAAAAAAAATCAAGAAGCAGATATCCCTTGTGCAAGCCGCTCAAGATCCCTCAACACAAGCTTAATTAGGGTTAATTAGGCACCATATGTGAAAACTGAAATACATCTTTTCCATATTTCTGTCCTGGTCTGCTGAAGAGAGGTCATCTTAAGTCACTGGCTCTGTCCAGGCAGGCAAACCTTCATGCACAGCTCTGATCTGGGTAGAGAGAGCTCTGGGTAGAATTTGGGAGCTGGACCAAATCCTTTTTGCTTCATTCTTTTTCTTTTATTAGTCTGTGTGTGCATACAGAAAAAGGTATAGGAAGATCAGGAAGTGTCAACCTATTCCTTGATCCTGCAGAAGACCAAGTTCTTTCCTTAAAAAACACTTGCCTGTCATCATTTAAGATTTTTCAAGTCATTATAAGAAGTTAATAAACCATGCTATAGCAAATATTATTTGCTCTTATTTAATTTCTATTTGGTGGAATGTAACTGTACTTGTAAGAGAATGTTATTCATTACAAAAGAAAACAATTTCCTGATTTGCTCGACATTTCAATATATAATTCAGTATACTTTATACTTCTGTATTAATATTTATCAGCTGTTTGGCCCAGATGCTTGCACTGTGGCCCACTGTTGAAACGTGATGGATGTCAGAGAATCCCAGATTCCAGTGTTCAAAGGGCTGCAGCAGGAGAGAGTCCTGCTTACTTTAATGTATTTCCAGAGGGATTCTGCCAGGAATTGGGAGCATTAACACAGCAGTTAGGAATCAATTACATAGCTTTGCAGATGGGAACAAAAGGAAGAGAAATTTTCTCCAGGGACTTGTTACAAAGTTACACTGTGAAATTATTCCTCGGCCTTGATTTTTATTTCTTTCTAGTGTGAATCTTTTTCATATATTGTTGGTTTTGGAAGACAGTGTGCAATTATCAAACTAATGATTTTTTCAGTTCTGTAATAAGAAGGGCATTTTATAGATCTTCCTTTCTTAGGAAAATTCTGACAAAAAAATTGAAAATTTGCTACCAATTATCTGTCAGCCTCTTTTAGATAAAAAGATGAGTGTATGTCCAAATCTGTGTGTCTGTAGAACTGTGCACTAAAGGTATGGAAATTAGCACTGGTATATTCCAACCTGAGGTATGTAGTTCCTGTGATTTACACCAGCTGGAGGTCAAACATCCCCACTCTTACAGAATAGAGTTCACTGATCAGTCACAAGGAAGAAAGAAAAGTTGTACATTCCCCATGTCTTATGGTGCTATTGCTGCTACAAATGGCATGACATTTTTATGAATGGGCAAATAAAATTCTCATTGTAAAACTTTCCCTATTAATGAGTGAACAATATGCTCTATAAGAAAAAGAGAGATGATTTTGTGAAAAAAAAACCCCAAACCATTTTTACAGTGTGAAGCATAAGTCAGGTCAGCTGAACAGTAGGCTCTTTCTTGGAAAAATTAAGGTCCTTAGTCTGTAAACCAGGACATCAACAGTTGTCTTGACACTCCTCTGTGTTGGATTTGGAGGCAATTATCCCTTAACCCACAATGAAATTTTTTGTGTGCAATGTCCATTGTCTCTGGACTAGTGGTGTGCGTACTAGGGCATTGTTGGCAAGTTTTGACGACATCCTGACAGCTTTTTACCTGGGTGAAATAGAGAGAGATCTCGTGGATCCAGCTGTTTCATGTCAGGATGGCATGTGGAACAGTTTCATAGCTGGATTGGAGCCATGTAGAAAGTGTCTCTCTCCTGCATTTTATACACCACTCACTTATGGAAATTCTCAAACCAAGTGTGAGATCGGAGGATTGAATTAGTCTTGTAAATTCTGATTCATAACTTGTATAAACCCATTTATTTTCATAATATTCCAGAAAATCCCTTTCAAGTCCAATTATTACTTTATGCAGCTCATGGCAGCAAA